TTGAACCAATAAAATTTCTCTTAAACTTAAAAAAAAAATAGAATTGAGAAGTGAACCATTATTTCCTTTTAGCAATTTAAATATGCCACTGAAAGCCAGGCGTGGTGGTACATACCTTTAATTCCAGCACTCAGGCAGCTGAGGCAGGCAGATCTCTGTGAGTTGGAGGCCAGTCTGATCTACAGAGTGAGTTCTAGGCCATCCAGGGCTACATAGTGAGACCCTGTCTTAAAAAAAAAAAAAAAGCTACTGCATTATATTTGTAGTTATTGTATCTAATGAGGTTGTCTTTGCTTTCTAGAGATAGGGTCTCATGTAACCCTCGCTGACTTTAAACTCTACATAACTGGGATGACTCTGACTTCTTGAATCTCTTGCCTCCATTTCACAAGTACTAGGATTACTGGCATGGGTTCTCACACTCAAACCTGAGTTTATATAATTATAATTTAACTTTTTGCATAATATTTTTTCATTTCTTTCTTGAATTTGTTTTCTCTTTGAGTCTAGTATGGTAGCACATACCTGTAAACCCAGCACTTGGGATGCTGAGACAGGAATACAAGTTCCTGGGCTACATAAAAAGATTCTGTCTCAATAAACAAATAAGCCCAGCTCTTTTCCCTCTTTGTCTTAGATATTCTACCACTTGGCCATGATTGTATAAATAAGGATATGCTTTTAATTGCTCTATTCAGCATTGTGTGCTTTTCAATTCTGAAAAATGTGTATCTTTCTTTAACTCTGGGAAATCTTAGCAGCTGTCCTTTACAATATTTCCTTCACCAATTCCAATGTGTCCTTCTGGAACTCCTAATGAACACATCTCAAAACTTTTCATTTATGAGCCAGGCATGGTGGTGCACACCTTTAATCCCAGCACTCAGGAGGCAGAAGCAGATAGATGTCTGTGAGTTCAAGGCCAGCCTGGTCTACATAGTGAGTTCCAGGACAGCTGGGGATACAGGGAGATCCTGTCTCAAAAATACGAAGAAAAAAAAAAAGTTCTCATTTGTGCTGTTTTAGCAATTAAATTTCTTATTTTTATTGTAACATTCCAATATCTTTTTTGGGGGGGGGTCTTTTTGAGACAGGGTCTCCCTGTAGCCCCAGCTGTCCTGGAACTCACTATGTAGATCAGGCTAGCCTTGAACTCACAGAGATCCGCCTGCCTCTGCCTCCCGAGTGCTGGGATTAAAGGTGTGTGCCACCACGCCTGGTACATTCCAATATCTTATTAAGGAAAAAAAAGACTTAATCTTTTTTTTTGACTTTTTATGTGTATGAGTGTTTTGCCTGCATGGGAGTGCAGCTGTGTCATGTAAGGTCTGCAAAGGCCAGAAAAGGGTGTTGGATCCCCTGAAACTGGAGTTATAGATGTTTGTTAGCCACCCACATGATGGGAACTGAACCCAGGTCCTCTGCAAAAGCAGTCTGTGCTTTTAACCACTGAGCCATCCCACCAGCACCAAAACATCAAAAGATTTTTTGTTTTTTGAGATAGGATCTCATTATATAGCTCAGACTTGTTCCCAAATGTGTGTAGTTTCATGCCTCATTCTCCTGAGGGCATTAATTTTTTTTATAAACATGTGCTACTATGCCTGGTGCTTACTGTAAAATTTCTCTCTCTCTCTTTTCGGTCTTTTTTTAAAATTTTATCTCATTATTTTTATTTTATGTGTATGAGTGTATTGCCTGCATGTATGTGAGTGCACCCGTGTCACTCAATGTCTCAGAGGTCAGAAGAGAACTTCAGATTCCCCTGGAACTGGAGTTAAGGACAGTTCATAGACCCCATGTGGGTGCTGGGAACCAAACCCAGGGCCTCTGCAAGAGCAATCAGTGCTTTTAACCACTGAGCCATCTCTCTAGCCCCTTTTTGATCTTTTTGAGACAGGGTCCCCCTGCAACCCCAGCTGTCCTGGAACTTGCTATGTAGACCACGCTGGCCTCGAACTCACAGAGATCTGCCCGCCTCTGCCTCTCAAGTGCTGGGAATAAAGGCCTGCACCACCACACCCAGCCTGAAAATTTTCTAAGTTTCAATTAATTTTTATTTGTTTCTTGAGACAGAGTCTCACTTTGTAACCCCAGCAGGCAGGCCTTGAACTCACAATCATCCTGTCTCATATTTCTAAGTCCTGGGATTACAGATATGCACCATTACACCCAGCTCCACATAAGATTCTAAACACAAATCTGCCATGGAAAGTTTCATCCAATTCAGCCACATCATGATGTCTGTTCAGTTTACTGGTACAGTGAGGGCATTTTTGTAATTTACAAAAAAATTTTCTATGATTAAATTTACTAAAGCACGTATTATCAGCACTGAAACAAGTTTATTCAAATTTTAAAACTCCCTTTTACTTTGAAAACTCGCTCCAAAATTCACAGTAAAATTTGTTTGCTGCTGAGACTATGAAGGGAAGTAGGACTTTGACAAGTGATTGGGTCATGAGTGTTCTACCATCTTAGATGGTCTAGTGGTGTAATCCTGAGGATCCAGTATCCGATGCAGAAGTGGCTTCATTTTAAAAGTCCCTCTTTATCTAGCCTCACGCATGTGGCTCCCTGTTGGAATTTTTGGCTCATAGAACCATTAGCCAAATAAACTCCTGAGGTTTATAATTTGCTGTGTGTAGCACTCTGATACAGTAGCACCAAATGAGACCGAAGCACTCTGAAATCACAGAAGCATCCTAAAGGGGCAGTTGTCACTAGCAAATAAATCTGATACTTTTGTCATTATGAGAGAAAACACATTACCAGTTTTTAATTTTTGAACATTACTAATGCCAAAGAATTGTGGAAAGGCTTCATATAATACCTGACTTGTTGCAATCAAGCTTTAATATTTAATTAATGTCTCTGCTGGGCTTTAGATTTATCAAGAGTCTAAGAAAACCTCATTTATTGTAGGAATGGCTTTTACAATATGGACATAATCTAAAGACTTTTATCTAAACTTGCAACCAAACATTTACTGTTTATACCATAAACAAGCTGAACTATGTGCTCCTCTTGTGCCCTGGGCATAAGAGCTTGATCCCTCAGGAACCCTTCTTGCCCTCCATCCAATACAGTGTAAGAGATAGTGTATGAATGTGTCTATGCATGCCTTACATATGAAAGCACTGAAAGCAGTGTGCTTTCTCATTGCAAACAAAGAGAGAAATCTGTTGTTGCATGTGATACTCTTGGGCAAGATTCTCTGATAAGGGGGGGTTCTACCTTCTACCTCCCCATTTCATGCTATAAATACTGCTTCAATAAAAAATGAGTAAAGACCTAGCTGGGGAGCACAGTTTCAAGAGATATCTAACGGAACAGGTGCTCAGCAGTTGGGATCCTCTCTTGGCCTTATGAATGCTAAGAGTCAGGCTGTTTCTTTAATCAGGTATAACTGCACTGTGGCATAGAAATGTCCAAGTCTATAAACTCAGTGTTTACATATGCTTAACAGAAATTTACATATGCTTAACAGAAAAGGGATAGCTATTTTCAGCAGTCCTTAAAATGTTCCTATTATAATCAAAAAATTGTTTCCAACCTGTAATTAAGGACTTAAAATGTTGGTAACATCTATGAAATAAAGCATCATGTAATTTTTTGTTAATATTTTTATTTAAAAAGCATACAGAAAAAGCATAAAGCAGCAATGACATCAACTATATTTGAAGACCGTTTTATAGGGAATAAACTATCATTTGTCAATTTGTTCAGCATTACATAATTTTTTGGGGGGTCTTTTTGAGATAGGGTCTCCCTGTAGCCCTAGCTGGCCTGGATGCGCTATGGAGACCAGACTGGCCTCGAACTCACAGAGATCTGCCTCTGCCTCGGGAGTGCTGGGATTAAAGGCGGGCACCACCACACCCAGCATCATTACATAATTTTAAAAAGGCACTTTTATCAATCCATGGACAAGAACTTGTGTTAGATGGTCTATAAGTTTGACATTGAGTACACCTGCCTTTATCATACCCTAGAAAAAGGGGGGGGGGGCGTGATGGGCGCACGCCTTTAATCCTAGCACTCGGGAGGCAGAGGCAGGCGGATCTCTGTGAGTTCCAGGCCAGCCTGGTCTACATAGTGAGTTCCAGAACAGCTATCGCTACAGGGAGACCCTGTCTCAAAAAGACCAAAAAAAATAAAAAATAAAGAAAAATTTTAAAAAGTAAATTTTTAAACGTTTACAAAATTTTTCTTAATTTTTAAAGATACGTGACTAAATATATGGGCATGAGGTGAGGGAATCGGTTCACCTGGAACTGGAGTTACAGGTGTTGGGAGACACCATACATAGGTGCTGAGATCTGATATCCCTGTTTTCTACGAGACTATTAATAAGCACTCAACCTCAAAACCACCTCTAGTCGGCTCATATATATATATTTCTTTTTTTTTTTTTTTGAGATGGGGCTCGTATTCCAGGCTGTCCTTGAACTGGTGATCTCTCTGCCTCCATTTCTTAAATGCTGGTAATTACAGGCGTGATATGGACAGAGGGGTTGTTTTTTAAATCACATCTAAGCCAAAACAAAAACAGGTAGCAGGCAGTGAAATGTTTGCAATCCCAGTACTCAAGAGGCGGAGGCAGAAGGACCAAGAGTTCGAGGCCAGATTGTACTAGATAGCGAGAATTTTTCTTTAGATCCGTCTGGTGTTCAGACATTCCACAAATGGGTCCGTCAATTCCATCTAACCCAACATCATCAGTTGTAATTCCACTAACAACCGCCAGGGCGAGATACAACACTTTTGTCTTTGAACTGGCACCTAGTTGACGTGCTAAGAAAACAAGGTGTAGAGAAACAAAAGACCCTCGCATAGCTGGGCCCGGCATCCCAACGAGGTTACGAGCCGACTGCGCCCAGCGGGGCTCCCAAGCGAGGGCCGCTCCCCGACCCGGACCCCAACCACCCATAGTGGATGGCGAGGCCCGGGAGCGCACGCTGAGGGGCGACGACAGACCCAGGAAGCCTAGGACCTCGGGGAGCCCGGCTGGGGGAACCCGCGGCTTCATCTTGGCCCACGGTGTCGGGCGCTCCACACCATCGCGTGGGTCCCGAGGACGCCCAGGCGCCCACGCCGGAAATGGCCGAGGGAAAGGCCTAAGGTAAACGATCCGGGCTGCGCGGAGCCAAGTTTCGCGGCCCCACGGCGTTTGGCGGTGATGGTCCCCAAGTTCTCCCCGCAGATCCCACAAAATGGAAGACAACGTCTCCCGCCACAGCCATGGAGGAAGTTGGTGGGGGCTGTTCCCATGAGCGAGGCGAGATGGAAGCGCCTCCACGTCCCTCAAGCGCCCCCCCCCCCCAGGCGCGGCCCCGACCTCCCCTCGGCTCGCCGCAGGCCCTCCCCGGCTCGCCCGTCGCGGGGGCTTCGGGCACTGGACAGGGAAGACGCGGATCCATCGGGGCCACGTCTCCTAGGGCAGAGTAGCGGGGAACCGCGGTGATCCCCTGGGTGCCGACGCCCGGCGGCCCAGTCCCGGCCCCTCAGGTAGCCTCAGAACAGAGCAACTACCCCGCGTCCGAACGCGACCGGTCCGGCAGCCGCGCCACTCGGCCTCCTGACCCCGGCGGACTCGGCGGGTGGGGACCGGGTGGAAGGGGAGCACGGAGGGAGGGAGGGAGCGAGCGAGTGAGCGAGCCGGCCAAACCGGAGGCTGACGGAGGGCTAAGTAGAGCGGCAAGGCGGGGCGGTGTGGCCGACTCTTCCTTGACGGACAGCCGCTCGGATAGTCCAGAGAGGCGGGTCCTGAAAGAAGGCTGACCGAGCCAATGGACATGCCCGATGCGTTCCGGCCCGCCTCCGCCGGCAGCCAATGAACGCGCGGAGGGCGGAGCCTTCCTGGGCTGGCCGCGCCGGCGCCTCCTCCACCTCCTTCTCACCAGCGCTAAAGTCGGGACTGGACCGAGTGGAGTTGTGCGTGTAGCCGAAGGGGGGTGGGCCGGGGGAGGGGAGATTCGTTCCGCAGAGCTGCAGCCATAACCGGGTGAGGCTTATCCCCGCTGTCTCTCCAGTCGAGGGCCGCGGAGAGCGGAGGTGGCTGGGAGCATCGCGGGGTCTGGAGGAGGAGGCGGAGGCGGGTCAGGGCAGACCCGGGAGCCTCCCACAGACCCGGGCTTAACACACAGCGGCGGCCTGCGTCCCCGCTGTGGCGTCGGGGCCTCGGGGTGCGCTGGGGGCCGCGCTACTGTCAGGCCCGAGGGCTGTGAGAGCGCGGGTGCGGCCTGGCGGGTTGGCTGAGGCTGACGCCAGGGAGGGGATGGCGGTGGTTGCGGGGCCGGCGGCAGCTGCGGCCGGAGGTCTCGGGGTGTTTTCCTCTTGGTGCTGCGGGGAGGCCGGGGACGGCCTCGTTGGCGCTCTGGCTCCGGGCCTGTCTCGCATCTGTGAGCCTGGCCCGGACCCCGTTTTCGGTGGCGAGGATGGCCGCCTGAGTCCCGCGCGGACTTCGCCTCTCTTCCCGCGCTGTGAGGATTCTGGGCCGCTTCTAATGGTTTCACCTGGTACCAGTCGCGGGTTGTGGAGGGGGACGAACCTTGGGCCCTCGGCAAGTGCATATAGCTAATGGGGCCCAGTTATTATTTGAACCGCTTCCATCTATGTGTTGGTACTCGAGTGGTAGCGGCAACGCCAGGTAGGTAAGACGGGAGAAATAGGAATCTCTTGCTGGCATGGAGACAGTTTTTCCTTCTACCTTCCCAGAAGTGTGGTTTGTTTTTGTTTTTGCTTTTTTGAGACGTTCTCACTGTGTAGTCCCGGCTGGCCTGGAGCTACGCAGATTGGGCTGGCGTTGAATAACCCAGCGATCCGTCTACCTCTGCAGAGTGCTATGTTTAGAGCCTGTGTCACAAAGCCCAGTACTGTAGTTTTTCAGTAGTTGATTTCTATTCTCTTTGGGCAAGATTACTATAATAACACAGGAGTAACTAAAAACTCGTTGGTTTACTTTCTCCCTCTAGTGTTCTGGAGTTGGAGAGGCCTCCTAGCTGTTGGTACTACAGCATTTTTTTATTTTGTCTTAGTCTAGGACCTGGAATCACCTGAAGCATTCGGCAGAAATAAGGAAAACCTCTCTATTGTGAGTCATTTTACCCTGATTTCATGTTTAACACTGCCATTGAAAACTGGTTTTGCAGTGAGATTTGCCTTTCTCTTACCTCGAAGGTGAAGAGTAATTGTTTCAGTGGGCTCTGCCCCAGAGCCAAGCCAAATGGGCATTGACCTCCGTAGGCATTGCATGACACGGGTGCACTTACCTACATGCAGGCAATACATGCATAAAAAAATACATAAAATAAAATAAAAGAATGGATATCATTGGGGCTGGGTGGCATGCATACACATAAAATAAAAATAATAAATAAAATTTAAAAAAAGAATGGATATCTTTGGGGGTGGGTGAATTTTTTTTTTTCATACCATACCTGAAGTGATAATATTTCACCTTCCATGATAGAAGTTTGGTGAGATGATGGGATATGGAGTGTGGTTCTAGTGCTATTCATGGATGACCTTCACATGGAAAGGAAACTAATGAGAATTAGAAAGATTGGTAGGGTAACGTGTCACTTGACTTATAAAACAATTTTTCTCATCAAAGTTCCTAAGGTATTTACAACATTCTGCGGTGCAAAGGACTTGGTTTTGTTGTGAGCCATACTAAAGTTCAAATCTCTCTTTCATGTGACTTTGGCAAGTTACTTATTCTGTGAACATTTATTAGACACATTAAGTCATAATCTTCCCAAAGTGAAGATAATTTGGGGCTGGAGAGATAGCTCAATCTGGCTGCTTTTGCACGAGACCTGGGTTCAGTTCCCAGCATCCACATGGCAGCTTACTACTGTCCATAACTCCAGTTATTATCCAGTGTCCTCCTCTGGTCTCTGTGGGCATTGCATTCATAGGTACACTTACATACATGCAGGCAAAACACTCATACACATTAAAAAAAAAAGATTCCAAAGTTAAGAGAAGTTGAAAGAGTGAAAGTAAAGTATCAGTCTATAAGTTAGGAAACGTGTGTGTATATGGTTAATGGTGATAGCATTCTGATCTTCTTTATTTCCTTATATTTCTTGAGTTTTATTGTTCAACCTTTTTGCTGAATTTGCCTTTCTGCTGCAGTTGGTTTGTAGTTTTTAGGGCAGGGTCTCATGTAGCTGAGACTGACCTTAAAACTTGATCATTGGGACTGGAGAAATGGCTCAGTGGTTGAGAGCACTGGGCTACTCTTGTAGAGGACCTGGGTTCTCTTTGATTCCCAGCACCCACATGGCAGCTAACTGTCTGTAACTCTAGTTCCAGGGGAATCCAGTGCCCTCTTCTGACCTCTATGGGCATTGAAGGACACAGGTGTACTTACATGCAGGTAATACACTCATACACAAAAAATAAAAATAATAAAATATTTTTTTTTAAATAATAAAATATTTTTAAAACCCATAAAAACAAAACTTGGTCCTCCTACCTTCACCTTCGAAGTGCTGGAAGTCTCCAATGTGCACAGCCACCAGTGGTTTTTGCAGTACTGGGAATGAACACGGCCTGGTATATGCTAGATAAGCACCCTACAAACTGAGCTAAATTTATACCTCCTGTTACTAAGCTTTTAATTTCTAGCAGCTCTTTTTTTAAAAATTTGAAATGTAAATTTTGAAATGATCTTTGCTCACCTCTTCCCATCTAGAGTAGTTATAGGAATTTTAATTTTATGTTTTTTTCTTGAATTAAAAAAATATTTTAAAATTATTTTTATTTTATGTGTATGAGTGTATTGCCTGCATGTATGTGAGTGCACCCATATTGTGCAATGCCACGGAGGTCAGAAGAGGGCTTCTGATTCCCCTGGAACAGGAGTTAAGGACATGTCCTAGTTTGTTTCTTCATTGCTGTGACAAAAACTCTGACCACTACCAACTTGGGGAGGAAAGGGTTTATTTATCTTACATCTCCCAGGTCATAGTTCATCAGGGAACCCAAGGTAAGAACTCAGGGCAAGAACCTGGAGGCAGGAGCTGGAGCATAGGCCATGGAGGAACACTGCTTACTGTCTTGCTACCCTGGCCCTTGCTTAGCCTGCTTTCATATGCACACAGGCCCACCTGCCCAGGGGTGGCACCACCCACAGTGGGCTGGGCCCTCCCACATCACTCAACAATCAAGATGCCCCACGGATGTGGCCACAGGCCAACCCAATGAAGGCAATTCCCCAGTTGAGGCTCCCTCAATCCAGGTTATCAAGTTGACACTAAAGCTGTCCAGCACAGGATGGTTCATAGCCGCCATGTGGGTGCTAGAAATCGAACCCGGATCCTCTGCAAGAGCAGTCAGTGCTCTTAACCACTGAGCCATCTCTCCAGCCCCTCTTGAATTTTTTAAGATTCAAAGTTCAGTACACCTTAACATTAAAAAAATACTATTTTTATTGATATGTATGAGTATATTGCTTCAGTGTATGTAAGTATACCCATGTCATGCAGTGCCCTCAGAGGTCAGAAGAGGATGTTGGATCCCCTGGAACTGGAATCAGGAGACTAGAAGTTGTTACCCGCCGTGTGGGTTCTGGGAATGGTATCTGGGTCCTCTGCAAGAGCAGCCAGTATTCTTAACCACTGAGCCATCTCTCTAGCCCCATCTTTAACATTTTCTCATGTAAGCTAAATATTGACATATTTTTATGCAACATCTCATGTGTAACTTAGTTGCATTCTTGTTTCATACATCAACTTACACAAACATCCTTTTAGTTGAAACTACAGTTTCAGTATTGAGGCTAACAATTCTGCATTGATTCTCCCTATCTCCTTGATCATGGAACACTGCACAAATTTGGGTATCGTCCTTTCACTGGGGCTGTGTTGACTTTGTTTATTGTACTAGTTTTAGTATATGTGCTATGGGAGCAAGCATTGCATTATGTTTTTGTTCTCCTTGACTAATTTTCACATTTAATGTTATTCACAGATACTTGGTTTTTGTTATTGTTTTTGTTTTCTTCAGGAAAAAAGAAATGAGGCTCAGGTTGGGCTTCTGTGTAGCTCAGACTGGCCTCAGACTTATGTTGGGTATCCTGTCTCAGCCTCCCAAATGCTGAGATTATAGGTATGCATTACCACACAAGCTCAATAAAACTTAAAAAAAAATTTTTTTTAATGTGTGTGTGTGTGTATGTGCTCTTGTGTGTGGGGGCCAGCAGGGGCCAGAAGAGGTCATCAGATCAACTGGAGCTGGAGCTACAGGAGTGGATGCTGAGAATCAAACTCTGGTCCCCTGTTAAGAGTAGCAAGTGTTGGGGCTGGAGAGAAGCTCAGCAGTTAAGAACACTGGTTGTTCTTGCAGAAGACCCAGGTTCGAATCCCAGCACCCACATGGCAGCTAACAACTGTCTGTAACTCCAGTTCCAGGGGATCCAACAGCCTCTTCTGTTCTTCATGGGCATTACACACAT